TGTAAAGCATTAAGCTACCTGCTTCCCGTGACCATGGACAAGAGGATACTTGAGGTCAGCTTTCTCCACCGTCTTGTATCCCCTGGAACAGAGAATTCACTGTTAATTTGTTTGACTTGATGGTACAACCCAGCCAGACCATTTCAACTGTGATTCAACCCTTTTGGAGTCCCCATGCACAGGCAGCTCACTGAGGAAGGGGCAGTGTGACTTGCTGCAGCAGATGCAGTGAAGGTGACCTCTTGCTGAATGCCCAGGTGTTTTTCACTCTGCCCTATCTCCCCAACCTGCACCAGCCCCACCTCAGTGGATCCCAGAAGGACCATCTCAACTGTTTTCTCACCACCCTGCCAAGGCCCCGGTCCTTCAGTCGGAGGGAGCTGCTCACAGTGTCCTTCACCACCATCAAGCCCAGCTCTCAGGAGGAGGAGATGCCACTTCTCCCTTCACCTCCCCACTCCTACGAGCAGGTAAAGGTGCCCTGAGGCACAGCCTTATCCTCAGGCAGAAAGGACTCACCAGCCCTCCATGAAGTAATCCCGGTACAGGACTTTCTGGCCCACGTCATCTCCCTTCAACCTCCGTGGAAACTCAAAACGTGTGAACTCTCCATCCAGGAGCTTTGGGAAAAGAAAAGCCTGGAGGAGGCAAAGAAGGTGTGAGGATGGACAGATTCTGCTTCAGCACAGTAGGGCACCAAAGCTGCTTCTGCCTCGGGGCTGGCACTCCCAGCAGCAGAATGGAGAACAGAATTGGGAAAGCACATTCCAATGAGGGCATAAGCATCTCCCATACTGAAGACTGTTGGCTGAATCTCACCTTCAGCCCTCTGGCTAGTGCCAGCTGACATTCTGGCCACACAGTGGCCTTCAAGGAAAGCTGGTGATCCTCTTGCCACAAGCACCCCCTGTGACCCAGCGGGTTGCTTGCTGGATTGTCTGATGCATGGAAGGGGTCACTCACCAAGTGCTGGATTCGCTGCCTCTCTGTCTCAGGTGTGAACTCGCTGCTCATGGGCACAACGTTGTCTTTCAGGACAAGAATGGCCCTACGAGGGGAGAAAAGGCAAAGCTGAGTTGTGCCAGGAATAGCTCTGCACCCAAAACTCATTTTAAAAATGCCACTATTTTAAATAACTCCATTGCAATTGCACTGTCGCAGCAGAGAACGGTGCTTGCCTGGTTTGACAGTGGTCGAGCTCACTGCTAGAGGAACAGGGGGCCAAGGCCAGGTGAGGAAGCTCTTGGGGATACCCTGAAATCACCTTACACTTTTAAACACCTAACAGACTGAGTGTACTGCTGCATCACCACCCCAGTGCTGCCCTGTGGCTGGGCAGACTTAGTCTCTTAAAATCCTGAAACCATTCCAGAAGGCATGAAATCTCTTTTCTTCCAACAGGTCCTGTGCCAGGCAGGAGGGAAATGGCTGGGCTGCCACATTTACTGTCTGCTGGATTAAATAAGTGTCATGGTTTAACCCAGCAGGCAGCTAAACACTACACAGCTGCTCGCTCACTCCCCCCACAGTGGGATAGGGGAGACAATTTGAGAGGAAAAAAAAAAGTGAAATCTGTGGGTTAAGATAAAGGCAGTTTAATAGAACAGAAATGAAGGGAAAGTAATAATAAAAGAATTAGAATATACAAAACAATCGATGCTCAGTGCAGTTGCTCACTACCCACTGACTGATGCCCAGCCAGTTCCCAAGCAGTGGCCCCATCCAGCTTTCCCACAGTTCATATACTGAGCATGGTGCCACATGGCCTGGAATATCCCTTGAGCCATTTGGGGTCAGCTGTCCTGGCTGTGACCTCTCCCAGCTTCGTGTGCCCCCAAACCTCCTCACTGCTGGGGTGAGGAGCTGAAACGTCCCTGACTCTGTGCAGGGCCTGCTCAGCAACAACTAAAACATCAGTGGCTTATCAGCACTGTTCTCATCCTAAATCCAAAACACAGCACTGTGCCAGCCACTAGGAAGGAAATTATCCCAGCTGAAACCAGGACAGTGAGATGCTGGAAACCTTGCTCATGTCCCAGGTCCCGCCCTGCAGCAACTTCCCCCTTTTATTATGACTCACCTGCTGTCCCCAGCATTAGCCACATACAGCTTTCCTTGGAAATAAAGGGCAGCCAGAGCAGTGCAGCCTCCCGTCTGGTTCATAGATTCCATCTCCTGGCCGATGACTTCATCCTGTTGGTTTAAAGTTTAAAGACTGACGTGATCTGAGCTGCTGCTTTCCACACTCTGCCTCGTGTCTCCCAGCAGAAATCCAGAACCAAAACTGCCTGTGGATAGGCCACAGGAAACCAGCAAGGTGACCGACCACGTTGCTTTGGTACAGCCAACACAGCTGTTGCCACTGGACTACAGAGTGCTTTAGGAGGGTGAGATCTAACTTGTACTCACTGTATGAGTGTCACAATAGCCCTAAAAATAGTAAAGAGATGCTGTAGCTTTCCTTTGGGTCAGCACTGCTGACGTGCAATAAATCTGAGGCAGGTGTTGGGGTCTGAACCAGCCTGATCTCAGCACCCTTACATGTTTGGATGAATATTCCTGCCTGCTCCATAAGCTGCAGAACTGCAGACCCTGCCCTTCAGGGTGGTAGGGGGGACAGACTGACTGCCTGGGACAGCAGGACTGGTGCCCTGCACAGGGGGGTACTCACACATTCCTGGAAGGCATTCTCCAGTGCTCCCACCACCAGGTCTGCTGCATGGATGTGCTTCTCCTCCACGAACTGGGGGTCACTGTCGCAAACGCAGCGCCCACTGAGGTGCATGGGGGGCTGGGCCTCTGTGATGCCTCCCACCACCTCCTCCAGCTTCTGCTTGATGCAGTAGTGCAGGTAGTTGGAGGCAATGATGGCAGCGTCGGGGCCACCATGGCCATCAAACAGCGCCCAGTAGTAACCAGTTAGAAACTGCCGTGAGGAAGAGGCAAAAGACAGCAAGGGAGGGAGAAGACAAGGGCTGAAGAGGTTGTACAGGTGGCAGGCTCACAGCCAGAACATCACAGAGTGTGTTTTGCCTGGCTTTTCCACCCCAACTACCCTTCCCTGCCACCAGTTAATCTCCTGTGCAGCTCAAACTCGTGATGCCCACGTGCTGCTCTGGCAGACCCATCATCTCAGTGTCTGGATTTGCACCACCCGCCCTCACGTGCTGTTCCTCTGTGTTTTAGGGGAGATGGGGCCATTTCACAAGAGGTAGGGCAGGCTCTGCTCCTAGGTGAAGGCATCTTGGTGCCTGGTTCATGCTGGTGTCCCCAGGTGATGACCACACACACTGGCCCTTGGAAGCAGAGCGAGGACAGTAAAGGAAAGTTGATGGCACCAAGTAAAGGGTGACTTCAAATGCTGCAAGTCCCATGGAAGTAGAAATGGCATTTACAGGCAGAGCTGGGTGTTTGCTGCCCATAAGGTACACAGGTCCCCCTGACAAGTCTAAGGAAGGGTTTCAGTGAGTGGGTATGTAGGACTGATGGAGTAATCGTATTTCCTGACCCTGGGCCCTTGAGTGGCAGCAAAAGGCTGGCAGCAGGGTGAGCACAGCCTGCCTGGGGCCATACCTGCATGGAGCACAGGATCAGCCATTCCTCATCCTCCTCCAGGCCTGGCTCTCTCCTCCGGACAGAGATCTGACAGCAGGCTGCCTGGTCCTCATTGAACTCCGACTTCTCGGCATTGATAACCCTGGGGGTGCAAACACTCCAGGTAAGGTGTGGTCATGCATTGCACCTCTCCTGCTCTCAGCGAGCTGTGCCACCACAGTGAACAGCTGCACCTTGCCACTTCCTTCCAGCCCCATGCTCCCTTTTCAAACTCGAGGATCTCTTTGCTGGTGACCGAAATAATAAGCCCTTTATGTACAGCAGGGAAAAGCCTGGCCAGGGACACAGGGACAAGTGAGTTTTGGAGCACCCTGGCCTCAGTAAGCCCTTGCCAGCAGCCCACACTGTGCTATTTCCTTGTCAACACAGTGAATTGCAAAACCACCACCACTGCTTTTCCCTCCAGCCTTGCTAATGGTTTGTCCCTGGATGGGAGTTTGCTCTCCTTGCATTTCACACTGTGCCATCCCACAGCCACAGGGTCGTGAGGTGGTCTGGCCAGGATGTGGGGACAGCTCCTGGCTGGAGTTGTTCTGCCTGATCCATCCCCTCTGCCCTTTAAAAAAGCAAAACAAGAGATTTCTAAAAATGTGATCTTCCCCTTCGTTTTACAAGACACTCAGTTAGGAGCAAGGGGACAGACAGCCGGTGGTGCTCTCGGGGCTGCCCCGGCCACTTCTCACTGCACTGGTACCTGTCCTGCGGCTGGCAGGGGGTGGGCAGGGGTGTCCCCAGCAGGGATAGAGAGGGCTTGGGGGACACGCTGCCACGTCAAACCTCTTCTGGAGCAGGAAGCCGCTTCCTCCTCGCCCGCAAACGGGGTGGGAGGGCGAGCTCTGCCCGTGGGCAGGCGGCTCCGGGCAGTGGGGGGCTGCACCCGAGGGGCGCGGGGCGGGGTGCGAACACCCCCCGGCACCTCCCCAGGAGTGCCCTTCGCCCCCCAAGCACCCCCTACACCCCCAAGAGCCCCCAAACCTGCGCTACTCCCCCTCCCCAAACCCTCTCAGCAGCCCGGGACAGACCCCCTAACCCCGCCGCCCCGGGGCTCTCCCGCCGCACTCACTCGGCGTATCCCGCGCCCCAGGGCAGGGGCCGCTCGCTGCCGGCGCCCCGCACGGCCCGCCCGCCCCGCGGGCTCTCCTCGGCCCCGCCGGGCACGAACTTGGGCCGGCGGTAGCGGAGGGCGGGGGGCGGCGGCCCCGGCCCCGCTGCCGGGTCCGGGCCGGGGCGCTCCGCGGGGCCGCCCCGCCGCCAGCGCCGCAGCCACTCTGCCGACATGGCCGGGCAGCGGCGGCTCCTCCGGCGGCTCCTCCCGGGGCCGGCCCCGGTCCCGCCCCGGGGCGGTGCGGAGCGGAGCGGCCCCGCGCTCCGGAACGGGCGGTGCTGCCTTGCCCAGCCGTTTCCTGCCCGGGACGCGGCGGAGCGGAGCCGAGCGGAGCGGAGCCGAGCGGAGCCGAGCGGAGCCATGACTCACCAGACCGGCATCCACGGTGAGCGGCGCCCGCCGAGCGCGGGTCCCCCCCCGGCCCTTCCCGCGGGACCCCCGCAGCCCCCGGACACCCCCGGGCCGGGCTGCGCCCCCCGCGGGAGGCACCGCCGGGGCCGCGCCCCGCACATCCCCGGCCCCGCCGCGGGCGGGATGCGGGCGGTGTCGCGACAGGGGGGGTGATGGGGGCGATAAGATGAAGCTTCCCGAAGGAGCCGGCAGGTTTCCTGCGAGTAGCGGGGGAGGGGGACACTGAGTCAGGCTCGGAGCGTTTGGGTGCCGGGAGGAGCTGCGGGAGGGGGGTCTGGCTCCGGGGTGCCGCGGGTGCGGGGCTCTCCCGCATCCTTTGTCTGGGCTGATGCTCAACAGCCGCTGTAACACGCTCGGGCAGAAGTGTCACGCACATCTGCCTGGCCGCAGCCCCGGCCACCGCGCCCCTCCCGGCGCAGATGCTTGTCCCCGGCTGCCCCCAGCCCAGGGGAGGTGCGGAGAGCCCGAGTGTTTTCCTGCTCCCCGGCTTCTCCGCCCGCTCCCCCCGGGACTCAGCCAGCGCCCCGAGACGACGGCTTTTGCATTTCTGGGTGCGCTTGGTGCATGACTGACTGTGTGTCCTCACGGTATTTCCCTCCTGCCCCCCACCTCCCAGCTCAATTAGCAATATTAATCAGGAGTAGAGGTGCTGCATAATTTATGTAACCGAATCAATATGCGAGCAGGGATGTGAGAGCAGCCACCCCTGGAGCCCTGCTCCGCGTGGTCGGATGTGAATCCAGCCCCGCAGCATGTCCCGGGAGGAGAGCAGGGACATGGTCACAGCTCCCTTCCTCACGGCTAGCACCTGTGCACCAGGGTGTGAGTTCGTGCCTGCTCTTCCTTCGTGCCATGACCATCCTTGTTCCTTGAACATGGCCAAGAGCATCCTTCCCCTCCAGATGCTCCAGCGGGGGCTGTAGCTCAGAAGTGGCCAGCGATGGTGCTTGGATGTTTCCCCTGCTTTGCCCAGGAGAGCAGGTGGTTGACAGCGTTTGGGTTCAGATTTCTTTGTTTCTAGTTTAAACTTAGATCCTAAAGTTCAGGCTCTAATTAAATGATCCCTGTGTTGTAAAAATGTAAAATAATTAAAAAAGGAAAAAGAAAAAATCGGCAGGATGGACCCCAGCGCCCACCTGAACTCTTGAGTGTGCCGGTCCCGCTCTGCAGAGCTCCCTGTGGGGTTTGGGCAGGCAGGGCCTCTTGTGCTGTGTGCCCCAAGAGGCTGCTGCCTGTTGCTCACCAGCAGCGCCCGGCTGCTCCTGTGCCACCGGTGCCATCTTCCCTGGCTCCCTGTGGCTGCTGGGGAGAGAGATGTGCCAGGTTGGCTCCCTCTGAGAGCACTGACCTTCCCTGACCTTGGTTGCCCACCGCTTGGCAAACCCTCTTCGACCAGTGCCGGGAGTCACCCTGAGGCACCGTTGCCCTGTAGGATGTGATGTGCCCCGTCAGCAGCTCTCTGAGGGAAAGGGGAAGGGACTCAGACTTCCCCTGAGGAGCTGCAGCAGTGCAGGGTGGGGATTGACCCGACTGCTCTGGCCCAGCAGCAGATCCTCGAGCTGGCAGTGGCATAAAAACCTTCCCATGGTTATGGAAAATAACTTGTGTTGGGTGGCCTTGCTGTCGCAGCATCTTGGACATCTCTGGGTCCTCTCTCCATCCCCTCCTTTGTGGTCCCTCTTCCAGGAAGCTGCTGTTTCCTCTCTGAGTGCAAATCTGCCCCTCCAACACCTGCAGTGCTCAAATGGGGCACTCCAGGCTCTAAAGGAATCCCCCAAGGGGGATTTGGGGTCTTTCAGTCCTCCCCACCCCGGCACAGTGATCAAATTAATCCGTTTGCTCAGCAAGGAGCAGATTCCATATCGAATGAGGAACAGCAATCCCACTGCTGCTTTCATCCCCTCTGCTGAGGCGCTGAGGTCTGTTGTTTGCTGAGGAGGAGGGATTTTCTGCATCTTCCTGGTTCCTGGGGCCTTGTTATCTTTGTGTGCACCCATTGCTTTGTATTTTTTCATTGCCATTTCTTCCTTGTTTGCAGGAAGGCATCTGCTCCCAGGGGAATTACGATCAGATCCGATGGCTGGCTTAGGGGAGGTTGTGGACAAGCTGGTGAGGGATTTTGCTCCATACTGTGCTAGATCCATGAGAGAGCAGGGTGATGTGGTCATAGGGAACACCTGGAGCAGCCCCCTGCTACAAGGCTACCATGTCATCCCAGCTTTTGGGGAGAAGTAGGTGGTCCCCAGGGAGGGGAAGCAGTGGCAGTGAGAGCTGCAGGTTCAGGGTGTGTAATCAGGGCTGAGCCTTTCATACAGGGGCAAGAGGCTAATTATGATTTTTTTTGTGTATCCCTGGCAGCTCCCTTGAAGGTGCCAGCAAGAAAACCAGGCTGCCATGGAGACTGCCAGGCTGGGGAGGCGGTTGGAAGCTATCAAGGGGTGCTGTGGGTTTTTTGGGGCTGGAAACCTACTTTTTAGCTGCAGCTGGGAGGATTCATTGAGTATTTTTGCAGTCCATGTTCTACCCTCAGCAGCGTTAGATGGGGACAAGCATTCACTGCTTGAGTTTAAAACCTTAGGAAGGCAGTGCTGAACCAGGGCTTTGATGCTGGTGGGAGGTCATCTGCTTTCAGTTGCTTCTGGGATCTCTTTCAAGACCTCTGGGTAGAGAGAAAAAGTCTCTTAGAGGGTATTTTTTTTTCATCTAGAAGGTAAAGAAATCAAATGCATATTGTTTCTTCAACCCAAAAATAGAGTTTGGTGGCTGCTCTTTCTGGGGGAGGTGGCAAGACCTGGGGATGGGGGGGGATTTTCACTCCCATCCACAGCTGAGCTGCCACTTTGCCCCAGGTCTGGATCTTGCATTGGAAAAACATCTGGTAGGAATGGAGAAGCATAAGCACACAGGCAGGAATACTGTCAGATGGGAAAAAAGGAGGAAAAAGGCGAGACACAGGAGCTACTGGGTCTGCAAAGGTCTCCTTGGAAAACAGCTGGCTTCTTGGCTCTTCAGCAGGAGGAAAGAAGGACCTTCGCTCCCCATCCACCACATCCTCAGCCCCTCTCTTATTCCTGTCCTGGGAGGCACCATTGGCTCCTGAGGCACCTGGACACCTGAATCCAGGACAGCTTTGTGGCTGGAATGCTGGGATAACCCCCTAACCAGGGAGATGTCACACCATGCCATCAGCAGATGAGGAGAAGGGATGGCTGGTTCCTGGCCCCTGTTTTCCATGGGGGACAGAGGGCACCAGACTGCTGCAAGGATGGTTTTGAGGAGCCAGTCTCTGCTTGTGAGCTCCTTTCTTGGGCCAACACCCAACTCAGAGGTTGATGCCCACTTCGGGGAATGGCCCATATCCAAGTGGATGGCACGGCAGGATGACCAGGAGGGCAAATGTGGATGGAAGACCAGACAAACGCCCTGAGATGTCAAACCCCTTAAATTTAAACACCTAAAATGGTGGGGGAGAGGAAATCCTTCAGAAAGTGTACACTGAGAGACTGTAAATGCAATGAGATCACTGCCAGGGTCTGTCCCTGGCCCTCTGTTCCCCTCAGTACCCAAACCAGTGCTCCCACTGGTGGCTTTACTTGGGCAGAGAAAAGCAACAGCAACCAGCTACTTCTGCAGGCACCGCTGCTTTGCTCTGGGATCCGACTGATGCTGCCTGCAGGGTGGGTGCTGCCCACCCTGGAGCAAGGGAAGGGCCAAATAACTCCGATCTGAGGTGGCAAAATGGAGACAGGACAGGTCATGGGCACCCATGTGGAAAATCGGGTGCTGAGAAGCAAATGGCTGGTGTTGGCTCAAAGTCTCTGGGCAGGATTTGCACTACAGACCAGGAGCCATCCGTGTGAAATCCTGCAGGAATACAGCCTAGCCCCACAGAAAATCGGGAGAAAAGCTCTGCTTGTCTCCTTCCTCTCTTGCCCTCTTTTTCCCTCCCTTCCTTCTTTCTGTTTTCTTCTGACATCTGTAGCTTTTTCCCCACAGAAAAGATTCCATGCAAGGACATATTTATTTTTTTCCACGGTGAGGAATAAAATCCTCTTAGCGCTTAAACTGGCCATGCGTGTCCGTCAGCAGCAAAGCTCCCTGCAAGCAAGCGGGTTGAGCAGGCGCTGCGTGACGGAGTTACACCGGGATAGACTGAAAAGAAGGAATTTTAGCAGCAGCAGAAGCTGTTTTGTGCCTGTTGCAGTTGTGTCCTTTCCTGGACGCCCAGACAGGAGCTGGGCAGAGGCTGCTGGGCAGGGAAGGCGTGGGTAGTGCAGGTATAATGAATGTTTTATTCATCAGCATCTCGACTTCTGTCTGGCCAAGCCTCCCTGGAGCTTGGACAAGTTTTGCCCGGGTTTGCGGCTGGTTTTTTTGGCAGGGTTTCCCTGTTGCATCCCAGGCATGCTTGTGCCCTGGACAGTGAAAGGGAAGCAGCCACTTAGAGCGGCATCGTCTTGAAGATTATGTCCAGGGAATGAAAGATTGATGGCTGGGGGCTCGGGTTTCCCATCGGGGAGGACAAGGTGGCTCGATGTTATTGAGAGAGGCATCTGTTTCAGGGAACATGTATTATTGATCTGGGAGCTGGGTGCTGGCACCGGGATGAGGGGGGATTGGGAAGGGTCAAATAAGCAAAACCCTGTTGCTGCCCAGACGAGCGAACAGGATGGAGGAGGGGGAGGCGCGGGGGAGGCGCGTGGCTGTCGCCTCCATCCCCATCCCCGCGGTGCTTCCCTGGGGATTGCATGGGCGGCTCCGCTGGCACCCTGGCATCCCCAGGGACAGAGTGGCCGTTGCTGTGGCTACGGCTGTCATCACTGCCGGGTGCCTCTCTCCCCCTCCGGCCTCCTCACAGCCCGGCTCTGCTCAGATAAGCTAATTGGGGCTGTAAACATTGGAAAAAGGCTCCATTTGGGAACGGCATTTGATGGGCTGGTACCTGCAAGCACCATCTTTCAGCAGTTTAGGCAAGCACGATGCCTCAAGCCCAGCGTTGAAATCTCCTGGGGACTGATCCAAAGGGGCACATCCCAGGGCAGGGCAGTGTCTGTTCTGGCTGCCAACAGCATGTCTGAGCAGAAGGTGCAAGGATCTGGCTGCCCTGCTGCTTCCCCAGCTCAGGGCGTTCAGGCTTTGGGCTGTGCCTGCTCGGTGCTGCCAGAGGGAAGGCACCGCTGTGCCTTCCCACCACAAGCTCCAATTGTCCTCTGGCAGCTTGCCTGCAGGATCAGGGCCACCTGAAGGCCAGCACTGCCCAAACCATCACCTCCCTGCCATGCCGTGAGCTGCCCAGCCTGGGTGCTCTGGTGCTGAGGGCTCTGCTCAGCCCTCCATCCCGAATGGGTGGCAGATGTCACTGGGCAGGGAGGTTGTGTGGTGCAAGGGGACCTGGGACACGCTGTTAGCAGGCTGCTAAGTGCAGGTGGCTCATGAGTAGGGGACAACTCATCTGCAGCCTACGAACAAGTGGGAGAGGGAGGTGCTGCACGACTCAGTGGCTGGAGGAGATTTTGTGCTGGGTGGGTGGCTGAGGAGGCAGAGGTGCTTGTGCCCATCATGTCTGCCAGGAGGGTGGACAGCAGGGCTGCCTTGTGAAAGGCCAGAAGGTTCCTCAGATGCCACCAAGCTCACCCTGCCTCAAAGCAGCAACATCCCAGCAGCATTTCTGGCAGTTTTTCAGGGCAGGAATGGATACTTGGTGTCTGTCTTTCCCAGGGTTTGATCACCCTCATCACGAGATTTCCCAAATGCCAAGGTGGGACCTGATGTTTCTGGCTGGAAAACCAGTACAAACTGTTCATGATTTTTCTTCTCTTCTCTGGGCTGACCAGCCTCAGTTCCTTTGATTTCTCCCACACGCTGTGCCTTCTGGCACAGGTGCTGTCTGTGCTGTGCCTTGCTCCTTGCACGATGCTGAGCCTGGATATGCTGTTCCTGCTGTGCCTGCAGCCTTGTCAGCACCAAATAACACGGTCATGCTCTTGTTCGTGCCTTCACGAATGACTTTGCCTGCCACAACATGAAGCAACTAACCTGAACTTGGCTTGTGACCCACCTCTCTTCTCTGGAGCTGCTGGACCCTGCCCTGCATCATCGTAGCTGGGCCTTCCCCTAGTTACGGTTCTTGGCTTCCTATTGAGTTTTGTCCTATTTCTTTTTTTCCCAGCCCATTTCTCCAGTCTCCTGAAAGAACGGTGAATTTTTCTCCAGCGTGTGCTTGCATCTCCTCTAGCTTCCCACCTTACAGCTGCAGGAAGCACTACTGCAGCTGCCAGAAGTGTTCATGGAAATGTGGACAAACCTGGACCCACCACAGGTCCCCAGGAGACCTTGCTGGATCCAACCTCTGATACCTCCCTGAGTGAGTTATCCATGCGGTTTTGTGTCCATGCCATAGAGGTTCACCACCCCCATGTTTTCTAAGCTGGCTTGAGACATTTAGAACCAGAGCTGAGACCCCTGAAGCCCACAGGTCTGTGGCTCTGCTGGAAGAAGCGTGAGGGATCTCATGCAATTTGGTCTCAGTAGATCAACACAGGCTGTAGCCCAGCTTGGGTTTGTTTCTGGATTATTTGTTCCAGGATTTTCCAGGAACCCATGTCTAGAGGGTGAGTTGGATGTGTGGGTCCCCTCCAGTCCTCTGCCCCTATTGCACCTTCCTTTCCCTGGTTTTTATGGTTTCCCCACGTGTGGGTTTTTCAGCCCTTGAGTTGTGTCCTGGAGACTTCTGGGCAGGGAGATGCCATGTGGCAGAGGTACCATCTCCAGGGTGAAGTCTCCTCCCTGCCTTTCTTCCAGAGCCAGCTGTGGACTTCTGTATTGATATTTCAGGCACGTGAGCCATCTCATCAAGTCTGCTGTGCCAATTAAATCGTAATCTCGCCGTAATGAAACGCTTGCCAAGCTCATGCTCAAACCTTTGTTGGTTTATTCCTCTCCCTCCTCACTGTCTCTTGGAACTGCGTCATGAGAGGCAAAAGGGGACGTTGAAGACACCCTGGTGATTTTTTTTATTTAAATGAAAATTGCTTTTTTTTTTTTTTTTACTTCAGCAGATTTAAAGCTTGGAAGCCCCCTCTGAGATTTCTTTTTGGTTTTTTTGCTGCTGTCTCCTCTGGAAATAGTCTTCCTCCTTGGCAGACCTTGTGGTATTTCCCATGGTGCGCTGGGCTTGTCTGGCAGCATCCAAGCTTTTCCTCATCCCCTTCAACCCTTCTGTACCTACACAAGGTCCCAGCTCTTGGTCATCACTTGTCAATCACTCAACTGTCAATCATTCCAGCCATTGATCCAACACTTCAGGGCACTCCTAGCGTTTCCAAGTGGGCTAGCAGGTTGCATTTGCCCAGACTCCTGATTTTCCACACCCCCCACATGCCCTCGGGTTCTGGGAAGGATGAGGTCAGGCTGGAGGGATTTGCAAGCCAGTTAGTGCTGCAGAACTTTCCTGTTTCTTCCCCAAAGCTGATGCTGTAGAAACATCCAAGACGGATGTTATTCTCTCCCATTTTGGCAGTTTAACAGGAATTGGTGAAACTTAATGCTTGTTAGGAGCTTTTGTCTCCTGCCCGAGGTTTCCTGGGTGTATAAATGTCTCTCTTTCTCTTCCTCTTCCGCCTCGTGTGTTTGCTGTAACCACAGATGCTGCCAGAAGGAAACAGCCACTCTCAACAGAGAAAGGGGCTAAAAATATCAGAATATCCTTGGTTGGGCACAGCAGGAGCAGGCTGAGCTCCCAGCTGGCACTGGGAGAGGGTGAAGGTCTGCTCTGGGAACTGGGAGGGCTACATGCCTTGATGCTGATGGAGGGAGAAGGGTGGTTTGCTTGTGGTGGGATTACACCAGCAAACTACCTGAGTGGCCCCTGAAATGCCATTAAGGAGTGATGTGCCTTCACTGGGGTGTCTGTGTGCCTGTTCCCACAGGGTCCTGATGGAATGCCTTCTCTGGGTTTGTATGGGAGCACTGCTGCCTGCAGGGAACCAGCCTGGAAACTCTTCCTCGTGTGTGCCTCTCCTCTCCATGGGAGGGGAAGCCACCTGGGCCTCTGACCATGGCAGGGTTTGAGCTGATGGGACAAATGCATCGCTGAAGTGTCACTTGTTGGGGACTGGCAGGAGTTTCCTGGGGGCACCCCAGGGATTCCTTCTCCCTCGTTGCTGGGAGAGCTGCAGGCAGTGCCTCAGCCCAGGGTGTGGCTCCAGGGGACAGAGGGCACTGCTGTGTGACAGTCCTTGGCCACCATGTCCCTTGGGTGGGTGCTGGGTAATGTCAAGGCTCCTCCTGTGGTGATGCTGGGGCTGTGCCAACCCACTGCTGGAGGGACTGAACCAGAATGGATACAGCCCTTGCTGTGGCACGTCCCACCACTGCACCTTTCCAACTGATGTAGGGATGGCTTCCTTTGCAAAGTGCCTTGACCAAGGATGCTCTCAGGCTCCAGGGACCCAAGCAGGGTTCCCTCCTGCTGCTGGCTGCTTTGGTGCAGCCGTCAGTAATGGGCAGGTAGCACAGCAAGGCACCAGGAGCAGGGGGCTGCTGATGGGAACTGAGCACGGATCCTGACGTGGACTGAGGGGCATCTGCCCAGCTCTCCAATCTTTGCAGTGCCACTTTCTTTAGTATTTCTAACAAGTGCAGCAGCTTTGAATTCACAGGACCCCCTTGGCTGCATGGCTGCATCCAGCAAAGGGCTTGGGTGTGTAACTGAAGGGATTTCAGGGGGAGCTGACCTGAGAGATGTTCCTTATCAGGGGGGTCGGCCCCTCCAGGCCTGTGGCCTGGGCATCGCCTTCACACGCAGCATGTCCTGGGTGGGATGGGGAGCTCTGTGCCAGTAATGCTTTCAGGGTGGGGAGATGAAGCCTCCCATGCTGGCTGTGGGCTGCTCCTTTGATATCCACTGCCTCCAATTGCCTCCTGGAAGGATGCTGAAGACCAGTTGCGATTGCCCGGTCTCAGGGATGGGGGATGAGCAGGAAGGTGGCTCCCCTAAACGCTTCCCAAAAGCCTTGTGCAATCAAAGCCCTGCTGGCTCTGGAGCAAAACCCTGGGGCTATTGCCTTTCCCTTCCCCAGGGCTCATCTTCAAACCAGTGTCTCCAGTTTGGAGCCGTGCTGGTTCCCAGCCGCTCGGGAGCAGCATCCTGCCGCGTGTCGCAAGCCCGGGATGTCACAGCCTGTCGGGACATCTTCCAACCACCCCTAGTATGCAAACCCCGCCGCTCTGAAAAGCGAATCAACTTGTCACTTGAGCTCTCCCTGCCTGCATTGGCCAAGCCATCGTCTAAATTTGGGTGATTATGTTCACCCAGGCCAAGTATCAGGTTCTCTGGATCACATGTGCTCCCAGCTGCTATTTAACTGTGACACCTCAGGGAGACGCAGCACTTTACTCCCAGCTTTTTGGGCTTTTTACTATTATTTTTTTATTATAATTAATTTTTGGCACCAGAGATTTAATTTTTTCACAAAAAAATTTTAAATTTCTATCCTGCCAAGTCGATCCCCTCCCTGGTCAGTCACCGAGAGCGCAGCACCTCCTTCGATTGCTAAATCTGATCACAATGTTTCTGGTTCTTTCAGCCACCACAGAATTAAGGGACTTTTTTGCCAAAGCCCGGAACGGTTCAGTTCGGCTCATCAAGGTCATCATCGAGGATGGTAAGTCTTGTTTTTAAGTGCTTTGATTTACACCATGTCTGTTCTCTGTTTCCTCTCCTCCTCTCCTATTCACCACTGTGGTGCCAGCTCGTGTTTTTGGAAACCTCAAGGAAAATGCTGCTGGGGTTTCCTGGCACGTGGCAGCCCAGACCTGAAATACAAGCCCAAAATCTGGCTGTGCTGATGAGCAGCTATTGGAGCCCTGGGGCAGCTCCCGCGGGGAGCAGTGACTTTGCCAGCAGAGCAGCACTGGTGTCCGGGATCTCTGCTGGGCTCTGGGGGGCTTTTGCTGCTCTTGTGTGGAATTGTGATGGGAACCCTGTGACAAACTGCTGCAGGGACCATGGGACCTTTGTTGGGGGTGATGCACAGGCATCTTCCTTCTCGGATGTGGCATCCCACACCAGGTAAGGAGGTGTTTGGGGCAGGGGTGGGCAAGGGGGTGCTCTGTGGCACAGGGCCCAGCACAGGGCCCCGGTTTCCTCCCACAAGGGATGCTACACTCAGAAAGCCATCCCATCTCATGCAACTGCCCCTAGCCCAGGATACAGGCGGCACCAACCTGCCTGTGTTTGTCCCATGGGAAGGTGCCTTTGGGTGGCCTCTACATCTGTCTAGTGAGTGGAGCAAAGCACTGATTGAACATCCCAGCGGGCAGCCGCTGTGGTGTAGGTTTTCCATCACTTCGGCCTCATACAATTGCATATGAATGACTTGTTTCTCCAGCAGCAGGGACATTAATGCCCTGCCAAGCTGCTGTCACCACCTCCCTTGGTGGGCCACCAGGACCATGCCACAAATACTGAGGTGGATGTGGTCGTAAGGAGCCCACAGTGACCTTTGGAGTGGCTGCAAAAGTGGCTGTTCGGAAGAGCAGCAAGACTTAAAATGCCACTTGAAGGGACACAGCACTGGGGCTACAGCAGGTTCAGCTGTTTTGGCTTTGTCCTCGGCCAGGTCCCTGTGTGGTGGGATGAGACATCCACATTGTTTCTTGGGAGCATCTTTGACAACAATTTTGCACTCTCACCTTCTTTGCTTTTAAAAAATAGGAGTCAGGTTTGTGTTAGGATAACGCAATTCATGGATGTCCCTAAGCCTGACCTTAGGCTTTGGGTTGTGGCTGGTGACACCAGCAAGTGAGACGTTTTATCATCAATGGAAAACATGTCCTACCATCTCTGCTGAGGATAAATAGGGTATATTTATATGTCCGATGTGGCAGCGGCAGCTTTATGGACCATCCTCACCTGGCAGTGTTTTGTGCTTCACAGTCCAGCTCTCCCACTCTGCCAGCTACTTTTCCCTGGCCTGGACGAGCCATGGGCAGCTCTGGAGGCACTTGGGTGCCTGCAGAAGCTTCTGAGGTGCAGCAGAGCCTGAGGCTCCTGTGGGTAGGCAGGGGAAGGAGAATTGGTGGGAGCACCTCTCTGCCAAAGGGCTTGAACTGTTGTGGACAAGGTGGTGGTGGTCCCACCAGCCTGACTCAGGGACAAGGCGCTTGGCCTCTCTGGGCCACCACTCTTCTGTAACACAGGGAAGATCAGCCCACTGGTACCCACTGGAGATGGACCTTTGGGCAGTAATGAGTGTCCAGGCAGATGTCACAGCCAGATAGAGGGACTCCAGCATGCTGGTCCTGGAAGGGATGTGTCCCAAGCTGGCTGGGAAGGATGTGCCAGCTGCCGTGCCTGAACAGGGGATGAGGAAGAGGAGCCTCCATCTTTGTTTGATGGCTTGCAGACACCTTGTGCCCTGCTGGGCATTTGTCTCAGTGCATTTCGGAGCAGGCAACAGCAGGTAGAAGGAGAGGAAGATGGTGCAAGGAGCCTTATGGCTGATGCTCTGTGTCTAGGCATTCCCAAAGCCACATCTATGGCTGAGCAGCCCTTTGGAGTGATTTGAGCTGATGCTGCCTTTGGAGACCTACTGGGAAAAGCTAAGGCTGGATGGAGGAGGACTGGGAGAGCAGGATGTGCACCAAGGCTCAGCAGCAGTTTGCTGGCATGAGAACAGCTTGTGGTTCAACGTGTTTTTAGATGATGCTCTGCTTCTCACTGTCAGCAGGATTCTGGACAAGGTTGACTTTGTGGACTTCCCTGCTGGGTGCCAATCTTTACACTTGAGTGCTGTTGTGCACTGAGCTTTGCAGATTGGAGCTCCTGTGCTGTCCCCCCATGGCACCCACCAGAGCTGAAGGCAGAGCTTCCTTGTTAGGCATTTCGGAGTGAGGCAGCCTGTGTGCAGTGAGTGCTGGGGGCACCTTGAGGGCCAGAAACACTCCCAGCTCTGCTTTCCTAGCAGCAGCTCCCAGCAGAAACGGCGCCTGAAAGAGCCAGTGCCGACGATGATGCTTTGCTGAAGGGCGGTTGCTTCGAGTTTCCTGACTCTTCCCAAGGAGAAAAATTTGGCCCTGAGTGGATTGAGCAGAACTGCAAAGAGCCTAGGGGAAAGTTGGAGGCTGCCAGCTCACGGCAGCACAGCCGGGGTCCGGCTTAGTCACATCCCGGGAATAGCCTGGAGTGACTCAGCACCGATTGCTTCCTGCATGAGGTGTTGGTATGTGTTGCAGACAGAGATACCCACGAGCTGCCAGTGAGTTTGGCCAGGTGAAATTCCTGCAGTCTCTTTGGGATCCCAGGCCTTTGTGATGCACAAATCTATTTGCAGAGCTTTGTGCTTATTTTAGGGGTACATGGAAGTTTTTATGCTTCTTTCTCCGAACAGGTAGTTTTGTTGAAGGTGAAGTATTTCCAGCACCTTGTTCTCTGCTGTCCTTGTTACTGAACTGGTAACTTGTGCTACCCATGCTCAAATAACTGGATTCAGTGTGTGATGGCAGATGCCAGGGTGGCACTGGGCAGGGAAGGGCTGCACTGCTGTCTTCAGGAATGTCCTGCTTGGGTGGGAAGGAGGTATGAGAGTAATTCCTTCCAAACCCTTTATTCCTCAACTATTTTCTTTAAAAATTTCCCTGCCATGGGATTTAGAGCTGCTGGCCTGAATGGGTTGGGAGAGGGCTGTGCCCCAGCCAAGGGGCTCCCTGGCTCCCAGTGGGCAGCAGGGCTGTGGGCAGAGGTCCAGGCAGGGCACGTGCCAGGCCAAGCATCCCCTCAAGTGCCAATTGTTCAAGGTCCTAGTTCATTTGCTTTGGCACCTCCAGATTTTCCTAGATCTTGTTCTGAGTCCCATAATCTTCCCCCAGACCTTTCTACATCTACAAATGGAATAAAAATACAGGCTGTTTTCCAGCAACCTACACTAATCGTCTCCAGTGCCAACACTTTTCCATTCAGCCATCCCAAAGCTTGGTTTGACCCTCACCAGAGGGTGGGTTTTATGTCTGTAGGATGCCTGCTCCAGTGTTTAAATCTCAGCTGAGCAGTGCCCAGCTCGCAGGGCTCCCAGCCCCACTGCCACTTGTGTAGCAGCTGAAAAAATACCCTCCAGGTACTTGAGGTGCTGCCACGTGTGTGAAATACTTAGGTTACTTCCAGAGGTTGGGTCTCTCCTGGCAGAGACCCCAGGCTGGGGTCTCTGGGACACCCCTGATTTCCACAGACACAGGCTTTGGGTGTCAGCTCTCATTTTGTCCCCTCTGTGGTTAAGGGAATCTGATGTGAGCAGCTTTGGCTCATGGTAGTGGATTTTGCAATGAGACCCTTATTTTTCTCAGCACCCCAAATGCTGGTGTGTCCCTGGTGAGATATTATAGTGCCCCTAGAGCTTCCCAGGTGGGATTGGAGAAGTCTCATGTTCCCCTGTGAGCAAGAAGGGATGGTTGAGAACTACTCAACTGGAGGGAGCAGAGGGGAAGGAGGCCACAGAGGAGACCTCGGCAATGAGGAGCACTGGAGGGGAGGAGATGGTTGAGAGGAGGCAGTGGGATGCTGGCAGAAAACCAACCCCTCCAAAGCAGCCACAACCCCAATGGCATCTCCTGGGGGGTCACACCTGGGGGTGCACACTGCTGCATGTGGCTCCAGGCCACAGTGTTTTTCTGCAGGATGGCATCGTTGGTGCTGGAGCTGCAGTGAACCCTTGGGTGAGCCACCGTCTGGTCCTGCAGAGTGAGCCTTGCCTTCATCTAACACCCCCTTCTCTGTCTTTTCCTTCCAGAACAGCTTGTGCTGGGAGCCCACAAAGAGCTGTCCCGGCGCTGGGACGCTGACTACGATCCCTTCGTGCTGCCCCTGCTGGACGAGCAGCAGCCGTGCTATGTGCTGTACCGCCTGGACAGCCAGAACGCCCAGGGATACGAGTGGCTCTTCATCTCCTGGTCCCCCGACAGCTCCCCGGTGAGCTCCGTGCTGGGCTGTGACACCCCAGCAGGGGGACACGGACGTGCTCTGGGAGGTGCAGGGGGGAGGAGATGGTGGCCAAGGTGACTTTTGCTCTGGGGGTGAGGAGGAGCGTTCACACCCTCCATCACTGTGCCTGGGTTGAGAAGCGGAGACTGCTTTGAGGATGGGGGAATTTTTTAAGACACAATGAGATGCACTGGGACTGTGTCTCTGTCCTCTTTGCCTGAGGAGGTGACAGGGCTGGGATGTAGAGGGGGGAGCGGTATGGACCACAGGGCCAGGATGGAGACATCCCACCGTGGCTCTGGCCAAAGGCATTGCTGGGAAGAGCCGGCACTGGCACTGAGTTGCCTCCAGCCTGGCCCTGCTCTGCTGAAGGAGTGGCTGCCAGCCCTTCTCCAGGCCTGGCTCCAAAATTTGGTGTTGGAGATTGGGCAAAAAAGGGCTGCTGGATGAGAGGCAGGTTTAGAGGATGTCAGCAATATGGCTTGGAAAATGCCATCCTGTTGAGCAAGTCTCCAGAATGGGCTTTTGGTGGACCTGACATTTACTGCTGTGTTAACATGTGTGCTTGCCATCTGTATACATATATATGTGTGCATGTGTATATATATGTATATACACACACATATGTGCATATATATATACACACACATATATACTTATATATATACTTATATATTTTATATAATCTTTATGCTATATAGATTTACTGCCATGTTAATACATGCACTTGTCATATATATATAAATATATATACACACACAAATGTATGTAATATATATTATTTTATATAACATGCATATATAAAAATACCCACTGCAGTTCCTATCTAACAATTAAGTATTATTATATATGCACACGTATATGTATACACACATGTATATACAATTATGATAAAATGATATAATATCTAATTTTATGTGTGTATATGTGTACATGTATATATACATGTGTCTATATAATGATATATATTTTAAATATATATCTTTCAACAAACCACAGAGGGTCTTATTGCAAAAGCACACTGTGCCCAGGAGCACCTGCCAAAGCTCTTCCCTGCGTGTTGCAGAACGAGGCAGTAGAAGTGCCAAAGGCAAAAGTCACTTTTAAGTGGCTCCAGTGGTATTTGCACCTCCTCCAACCCAGGTGTGGGTGAGAAATGGCACACTGGAGCTCGGGGATTGGAAAGCAAAGCATGGAATAAACTGTGGGATTGTGGGCTGTGCTTGGCAAGGCTGCGCCAGGCGCCGGCAGCCCTGGAAATAGTGCTGATGGGTTTTCCCGCCTGCTCCCCACTCAGGGATGCTGCCATTAGAAATCAGACTGAGCTGGAAACTGGGTGGTTGCTCCCAGGAGGGCTGATGTTTGTGGAGCTGGTGGTGGGATGGTGTCTGTGAGCGCTGGGCACCTCCCTGGTGCCCCGTGCCCCTCTGTGACGGCGCTGCTGCCCCTCTCCCCGGCAGGTCCGGCTGAAGATGCTCTACGCTGCCACCAGAGCCACGGTGAAGAAGGAGTTTGGAGGGGGGCACATAAAGGATGAGATGTTTGGCACAGTGAAGGTATGGTGGTGGTTCCTGGTGCAGCCTTTTGGGTCCTTTTGAAACTTTTGAGTGTCAGCAGCCTACCCCGGGCTCAGTGCCTGGGTGGTGGGATGTGGGATGCTGGAACAGCACAGAGGTTGGTTCCTCACGCTGCTTTAGTCTCCTGGGTGGCCACTGCCACCTTCTCCTGCCTACATGGCTGTGGTCTGTGATAGAGACCGTGGAAGAGGTGGGAGGAAGGCTCCAAGATGTGGAGCTTTACACTGAGTGGGAGAAGCACCAGGTGGTGGCACTGTCACTCCAGCAGCTGCCTGTGTGCCAGGGTTATCCCTCCTCCTTGGATGGAGGTTTCTCCTTCTCTTCTATAGGCAGAAGGAGCTGCACAGCTAGGGCCTCCTGGGCATCAGTCCTGCTGGGACTTCTGGCGCTGGTGGGAGCCAGGGAGATCCCTACTGTGCTCCAGAAGATTCCCCCTCTGCTCTGGGGCCCCGGGCTGTGGGCTCTGCCTTTTCTTCTTACTTCCATGCTCATGAGCTCCGTTAATCAGCTGGAAGAGTCACACTGCCACGGCCACAGGTGCCTGGGGAGGAGCAGGGTGGTCTGAACAGGCACAAGCAGTCATGGACACTGTTTAAAATCAAATGTGGGATTTGCTTGGAGCCATCCAAGAGCACTACTCAGGTTGATCCTCCTGGTAAGGAGGGAGCCCAAGACCCACTGGGTTGCTCAGACTTACCTCAAGGCTAGGGGTGCATCCTGATAACCACCCCTGATGTGTCTCCCTGTCCCTGTGTCTGCAGGAGGACGTGTCCCTGAGTGGTTACCAAAAGCACGTGTCCTCCAGCTCTGCCCCAGCCCCACTGACCGCAGCCGAGCAGGAGCTCCAGCAGATCCGCATCAACGAGGTGGGTGTCCAGCAGCCCCAGGAGAGGAACTTGAGACCCTCTGAGCATGAAGGGATGTGGGATGCAGGGAATGAGCATTCAGCTAAAAGGGATGGCTCATTTTTACTTTGCTCCCTTGTACCTCTGCAGTTTAACCTGTTCTCACCCTTGCCGAGGTGACCAAGCCTCCTCACAGTCAAACTGTGGTGGCATAAAGAGGAATTTACACTTTTTTTTTTTTTTCCTTGAACACGAGCTCAGGACTGCATTTTGCTGGCAGTCAGAAGATGGTTTAGGGCTGAAAACAGGCAGCAGTCTCTAACCTCTGAGTGTGGGGGCAAAAGCCAGCGCTGAGTTTGAAGTTGTGGGGGAAGCAGTAAGAATTCAGGCTTACCTTTGGGCTGCAGCAGCATCCTTTCCCATGCTCTTCCTCTATGGCTATAAATATGAGGGATACTATCCCAAGAAATACAGATCTTAGCCTAAATTTGGGGGCTTACATGCTGGAGAGGATGTGGAAGTGTCACGGGGTGGGGCTGGGGGCAGAAAAGGCTGTAACACCGTCATCTCCCTGCTGACATTCACGGCATTCATGCCGACCTCTGAGTGAAACACTGAGGCAGGGAGAGGGGTTGGATCACTGGGTGGGAAGACCACCTGGAAGCAGTATTTTTTTGGGGATGAGGGGATTTCCCTTTGATGGAAAGCCTTCCTCTCTAGAGTAGTATCCGTCTCTTCCACCTGCACCGAGGCTTTGAGGCTCACGGGTGGATCAGGAAATGCCTGGGAGACATGAAGCCAATCAGCCTGATAGTACTAATTAATGGCAAAGATGAGGCAGGAGGGTTCCACCTGCCAAAGCAGGTCTGGGGGTGGTGAAGTTGAGGGGTGTCTGGGAGATGCCACTAAGGGGTGGTCCCCACCATGGGTCTCAGTGGAGTTATCCCAGCTCCCAGCCTGGAGGGGTTGGGCAGGATTTGTGCTGGGGGATCCAAGGTGATTCCCATGCTTGGAGAAGAGAGAAGTGCTGATGGTGGCTCTGCAGCTCATTTGGCACCTCGGGATGTCTGTGCCATCACCTTGTCTGGCCAGTGCTGCGGGATTAAGTAGTTTTGGGGGGGTGTTGGGCTGTGTCTTACAGAGTCATGTGGCCCAGGTAAGTAGTGCTTGTGGTGCTCATTTTCCAGGTGACCTGCCGTGTTCTCCTTCCCTCCCTCGCCTTTGTGAGACGCAGCTCTTGGGTGGAGATGCTGCTGCCTTTTAGTTTGTTTGGGGTTATTTTAAAGGTACATGGTCTCCTGTGTCAGGCTGGACCATGGGGAGCAATCACCAACATTTAGAAAGAGATGAAGATGGATGTGTTTTTGCCTGTGGATTTAAAGGTGGGAAGTGGCCGATGCTGGGTGAAGGGTCTCCGTGTTGGTGTTGCGCCCGCTCGGCCCTGCACATGGAGCAGGAGGTGGTGCAAGCTGTGGTTTGGGTGCTCGGTGCCACACTGATGTCCCCAGGATGGGGAAACCCAGGACTCTCAGTAAATGCAGCTTGGAGCGAGTTTCTGGAACCCTGCAAAGCAGAGGGCTGTGATCGAGGGGGTTGTATGGGAGCAGGTCACAACCTGCAGCCCCCACTCGGTACAGCGATGCCTCCAGCCTTGCCTGCAGCGTGCAGGGTCCCTGCACACGTGTGCACCTTGTGCACAGGGTCCTTCCACGTGCTTACACGTTGCAGTTGCCTTTGGGGGAGCAGATCCAACATGTGGGAGCGAGTGTTCAGGGCCAGCAGTGACCTGGGACTTGGGCCCAGGGCAATCCCAGACCTCAGCACTGACCTCTCACTGTGTGTCTGCCCAAGCCCCACTAGCAGTCCAGGACCCTGCACATCCCCCTGTGTTCAACCTGTCTGTCAGGATTTTGGAAGCGACACAAGGGACATGGTTTCTTTAAAAGCCACCAGCTCACAAGTGCTTTGCTGTGCCCCTTGCCTGGAGCTGCTGGTGGAGGCTCTGCTCCCCTCTTCTTTTGCATTGTTGATTCACAACCTTCTGAGACCCTGGACAGGTTGGCAGTCTTCACCCTGAACATGGCAGTGCTTCTCGAGCTCTCTGGGATCCTCCTCAGCCACTGGGAAAGTGCAGAGAGGGGGTGGGAGGGGAAGGTCAGCAGCAAAGCAGGAAGGGGCAGGCCATGGCTGCAGGGCAGCAGCTTCAGCGGCCTTTGACCCTGAGCAAGGAAGGACTCAGGGCCACATGTCCCCCAGGGAGGTGCCCAGCCTTTGGGAAAGCAGGTTTTAGGCTGATGAGCCAAGCTTTCCCTGTGGTTTGAGGGCTGCATAGACAGAGGTGATGTCGTGAAATACTCTCTTTCTTGACAGCTGCTTGGGAGCTTAGGGAAATTTGCCATTTGCTTTATATCTATATATATTTTTAAATAGCTGGAAAATGCGAGCTTTGCTGAGCTGAGAGTTGTCAGCAGACCGTGGGCTAAGAAACAGCTTTGAATTTTGCATTGAGCTTAACACCCACGAGTGGGGAGTCTTTCTAGAGGTGTAGCAGGTTCAGAAACACAGCGGGGAGCCAGGCATATCCCACTGATGGGGCTGGAGGAGGGGGCAGGAGAATTAAAAGGAACTAAAGGTGGGGGGGCCATCGCAGTGTGGAAGGGGGTGTCATTATTGGCTGTGTTGGAGGGTGGGTAGAGCAGAGGCTTCGCCAGAGACCTCCCATGAGGATTTCACCATAAGACAGAGAAGTGCTCGTTAACCAAGGTCAGCACCATGCTAGGAGTGAGGAAGGAGGTGGGGAAAATCTAACCTAAAGGATATAAAATGACCCTGCAGGCAAGCCTGCTGCCAGCAAGGCTGGGCAGCCAGGATGTGGCATATGCTCGGCAGTCCCATGCTTGGCTCTTGGGCTGTGCCCTGGGGAGTGTTTCAGGGAGCCAGTTTTTTGTGTTTTTGAAAAGGGAAGGAGTAGAAAATACAGAGGGGTATGGGGAAATTGATGTTGCTAGGACAAAGTTCCATCTCGTGGTGTTTTTGGACCTCAGTGTCCTTTGTGTTGGAGCTTGAGTTCTCTCCAGTCCTGCTATAATCTTCCCAGTCTCCTTACATTTACAGGAGAGAAAACTGAGGGTCTGGGGGTGTTGGCAGTGGTGATGTCCTTGCGCTGCACCTCTCCACAGGGTGGGACCGGGCAAGCTTGTGTGCATCCTGAATCCCTGTGTGCTTTCCCTTCCGCCCTTGCTGGTGCCATGGTATCCCAGGGGATGGTAGGACAGCAGAGCTGGAGGTCAGCTGGACTTTGTGCCCATCTAAGCAATTATTTCCCTTTCCCGAGAGCTGCACGTTCACACCCTGCTCATCCTCTGGGGTGCTTGGTGTTGATAGAGCTTTGGGCGTTTTTTTCCTCCTAAACCTTTGGCGTAGCCCAAAATCTATTGCTGAAAATGCTGGAACTCCTCCAAACCCTGGGCTGGGGCCACCCTAGCTGGGGAGCCAGCAGGAGATGGGGCAGGGACAGGCTCTGCACAGAGACATTGGCAGAGACACTGCATGCAGGGCTGCCCAGGCTCGGAGCTGGGGGTCTCCCTCCCACTCCTCCCCAGCTCTGACATCTCCTGTGTCATGTTTTGCTGCTTTCCCTGCCCACATTGCCAGGACTGGCCTTCCCTGGCCTCCAGCAGGGACGTGGTACAGCTTCATCCTCCCGGCATGTCCGTGTGTCCCCCACCCCTTCTTGTTTCACACGAGACACCCCCCCATCCCTGCGCAGGGTGCTGTTGACAGTGTGTCTCCTCTCCCCACGCTCGCAGGATTCCTGTTCCCAAGACTCGAGCACCGAGATGGTAGGCTGCTCTGCCTGCTTGATGCCCGGTTTTCCTTCTCCTGGCATTGTTTTTCTGCATGCTCTGCTCTGGGCACCCGAGCCCGTCGTTCCCCAGGGGTGTGGGTGCCATGTGAGGCTCCTGTAACAAAGGGCAGCCCTGTAAAGAGACCCACTTCGGCGCTGCCGAGTGGTTTTGAGATGTCAGCTCAAACTCCTGCATTTCTCTTGGCATGCCTTGACTTTTCTTCCTTCTCTCTGTCAGGGGGAGGGCAATGAAGAAAGAAAAAGCCATAAAGGTTGGACTCTCTATCCATAATCTCTGAAACAGATCCCAAAGGAAAGGGACCCACGCTCGCTGCAGAGCACCTGGGTTAGAGTTGCTGGGCTGTTTCCCTGGGAGGGGGTCTTGAGGTGGGAAGGGCTCCTCCGCCATCAGGGTGACGCCATCTCCCTGTATTCTGTGGCAGATGGTGGGGGGCTGTTGCTGCTGCCCATCGCTGGTAGAGTACCCCGACCCCGAGGAGGTATGGTGTGCCCGCCGCGCCCTGACCCCCCTTCCCCTCCAGTCCCCGTGAGGGACCCCCGTTGTGGCTGGATGGAGGCACCCGGGGCGATGCCATGTCTCTGCAATCTCTTTCTCTTCCCTCTTTGAAGTGGGGTTTGATCTCCTGGACTAGGGGTTACAGGCAGCAGCCTCAGGGGTTGTGGGGAAAACAGCATCTGGGATCTTTCCCAACTGTGGATCTCCAGTTCCCCAGCTCCAGCGTTGGAGGGAATGCCTGTGTGCTGCAGTTAAACTCACTGAGGAGGGTGGGTTGTCCTCCCTGCTGGTGGGGACCTGTGCAACTGGTCATTTCAGCGCTGTCATTTCAGGGCTCCCCCTGTCACACGGGTAGCAGTTGGAGATGATTGGAGATGGAAATGTGCCAGCACTGGTCGCAGTATCCCTGTCAGGGACTCGCTGGGAAACGTTGGTTTTGAGCTGGTCTTTGCTGGGAGTGCAGTGTGGGGTGCAGGGGTGCATGGTTGGGCCCAGGTGATCTCCCAGAGCAGTGCTACAGTGACAAGCATCACCATCCTCAGCCTGACTGACTTTTGGCAGTTTAATGCTGTAGTCCCTGTGAGCTGGGTGCCAGGAAGCTCCTTGGATGAGAAGCTTTTAGCTGCAGCACTGGCTGGTTTTCCTTTCTCTCCCTTCCCCACCCTTTGCCACTGTGCCCTGACACTCGAGGTGGTTTCCATCCCCAGGTGAAGACGGAGATCAGTGTGGAGAGCAAGCACCAGACACTGCAGGGCCTGGCCTTCCCCCTGCAGCTGGATGCCCAGCAAGCCATCCAGGCACTCAAGCAGAAGAAAATCAACTACATCCAGCTGGTAGGTCCCTCACATGGCTCCTCTGTGCCCCACTTCCCTCCCTCTTGCTGCCATCTCTCACTCCCGTCTGCTCCCCCATCCCTCTGTCCATCAGAAGCTGGATCTGGAGCGGGAGACCATCGACCTGGTGCACACAAGCCCCACAGAGATCGCTGACCTGCCCAAGAGGATCCCCCAGGACTCAGCTCGCTACCATTTCTTCCTGTACAAGCACTCACATGAGGGAGACTATCTGGAGTCTGTCGGTGAGAGCCTTGGCACTGGGGATGGCTGGGGGGGTCCCTGTTCTCCCTGGACCATTGCTCACATGGGGAGCAAGCAAGGATGGGGATAGGGATGGTGCAGCAGGGGGCCTTGAGTGCTGCCACAGAGGATTTGTGGGGGCGGTTTGGTGGCCAGTGCATGACAGGCATAACAGGGGAGATTTGGGAGGGGTGATGGATGGGATGCCTCACCTTCTGTCACTGAATAAACTGGGATTCTCGGGGCTGGAAGAGATGTGACCAGGGTAGGATGCAGCTGGTGTACCCTGGCCATAGGCCTGGGCAGCACCCCAAGCCCTGCTCTCTTCTCGCAGTCTTTATCTACTCCATGCCTGGGTACAAGTGCAGCATCAAGGAGCGCATGCTCTACTCCAGCTGCAAGAGCCGGTTGCTGGACACTGTGGAGCAGGAATTTTGCCTGGAGATAGCCAAGAAGGTAAGTGCGAGCCCGCCCAGAGATGAGGGAGCAGAGACCCGTGCTGGGCATCAGCAAGGGACTGTGCTGCAGCGTTTCTCCAGCCCCTCTGGAGGGCTTGGGGGCGAGTCGTGTGCCCCAAAGGCGCGTGTCAAAACCCAAGGGAGCTGCTAATTCCCTTTGCCGCTGCGGGTGCAGATCGAGATCGACGACGGAGCGGAGCTGACGGCGGAGTTCCTGTACGAGGAGGTGCACCCCAAGCAGCACGCCTTCAAGCAGGCCTTCGCCAAGCCCAAGGGGCCCGTGGGCAAGCGGGGACAGAAGCGGCTGATCAAGGGGCCGGGCGAGAACGGCGAGGACAGTTAGATCCCGCAGGGCCGGGCGGTGAACGGACAGCATCCCCGCGGCGCTGCCCACCTTCCTCTGCGCTGACCTGGGGAGCTTTCCCTCCATCTCAGCCTTTTTTTTTTTTTTTCCCCCTCCCTTTTTTTTTTTTCCTATTTCATTCCTTTTTTAAACATCAGGATGGCTTGTTGCACCTGGGGGCAGAGCGATGGGGAGGGTTCAGGGCTGTCGGTGTTTCCTTTCCCTGCGTCCTTGTGTGAGCCCCGGGGCTGCTGGGGGAGGACGGGAGCAGCAGGGCCACGTCCCCAGCCTTGCCTCTGTCCCCCCTGGGGTCACAACCGCCGCTCTCCCTGGGGACTTCAGTCCCTGGGGGACTGAAGGGCACGCTCACCTGAAAGCTGCTCTATGCAAAGGGAAGGGGGTGGCGTTGGGGATTCCTGTTTGAAGAGAGAAAAGGCTTATTTCCCTGCTCCCCCAGACTTTGTTCCCCTGTCCTGCTCTTGGTGTGTACAGCCCCCCTGCCCCAGGCCTGGAGTGATCCTGCACCCCCTCGGGGTGTGGGCAGGACCCCTTCCTGTAGGGTGGGCTTTGCTTCCGGCGGGGTGGGAGTTTCTCCCTGCAGAGAGCCAGGCAGCGGGAGGTGGAAGTTCCCCACTGAGTCCCAAGCTCAGCCTGGACCTGTAGAAAGGTCACTCTGCCTTTGGGTGATGTTTGCATCCCCTTTTTGAACTGCCCCAGTAAGGCTTTTCCCCTCAGAAGGATCTGTTACAGCCCTGACTCAGCCCCATCTCTGTTTAGGATGGGAGCTGAGGGGCTCCTGAGCCCTGTTCCCCCTGTTCCCCAGCCCCCACTGTTACCCCCTGGGTTTTCAGCTGGCTCTCTGGGCTGGGGCAGCCCCATGTCTTAATAATCACATGGGCTACCCCAAATCCTTATGTGGGGAAGCATGACAGCCCCTGTGTGCCCCCTGCAGATGTCCCCAGCCACCAAGGGCTCCACGGGCCGAGCTTGGCACTGTGATTTGGGCTGTGCTGGGGGTCTGGGGGAGAGCACCTTGCTGCTGGGTTCCAGTGAGGGCTTGAGAGCCGCCTTCCTCCCTGGGAGGATGGAAAGGGGGTCGGTGAAACCTGCCCTCTGCTTTCCAGCTGTGGGGTGAACGTGCCGATGTTGCCTTGACCTCGGCGGAGTCAGGGGGTTGAAGCTGGGGGGAGCAGAGCACACTGTACTGAACGCTGTATTTTCTAAAGAATAAAGTATTTTTAAAACAGTCTGATGCTCTTTGGAAGTCCCCTGGGTTCCCCAGCTTTGGGCATTTAGTAGCAGTGGGCTCTGGAGCTGCAAAGAAAACTCCTTGGACGTTGGGAACCAGCAGCTCTCACAGCCTGCCTGCCATGGAGGCATCCAGCCCTCACCACCCCCAAGGACATTGACACAAATCCAGGGGTCTGAGACAACCCTTCAATGTCTGGCAGGGGTTTTGATACTCGACCACTCCAGTAATGCCCAGAGCCAGAGCTGGCTGCAGGAGGCAGCATCCCTGCTCAGCCCAGCTTTCCATTTTTCATGGCCGGTGAGGATTTTGCAAGGCTGTTCTCTTGCCTGGGATAAACACCTGCCTGGCCATAGGGAGAGAAAGCAGGAGGATGCAGAGCCAAGAGAAGAGTTGGGAGGGCAATGGGGTCTGCCCACATCCCAGGCTCCCAGCTCTCCCACTCTTCAGCCAGGGCAAGGCAGAGGTTCCCAGGCTCCTGGGAGGGGAGTTGGACCCCACATCTTCCTTAGTGGCAAGCAGCCACCCTGCCAGAGATCTTCAGCATCTGAAAAAAACCCAACAGCCCAAATCTTGGACCTCCAGCTGGGCTGTGTGTCCTAAATTTCTGAACAGTGGGTCCTGATGGAGAAGCAAGGAAGCGTGCCCTGGCTTGTGACACAACCTCCCCTCTCCTTGCCCAGAGGATCTTGGCTGCAATTTAGATACCTGTTTGATTTTTTTTATTTATTTATTATGGTGTCCTGAGCAGTTCTCCCAGGGGAAAGAGTCCCTGTGTACTGCGCTGGCACAGCCCTGGCCCTGAATGTGCTCTTCAACCAGCCTAGTGGAGTTTGCACCAGGCCAGGGCTGTGCTGTGTCTCAGCTTTACTCTCTGTGCCCAGGATGAAATGGATGATTTGAGAAGCTGGCTAGAAAACATAATAAATAAATAAATAAATAAATAAATAAATAAATGTTTCATGCAAAAAAAAAAAAAAACCAACCTTACATCATTTTCCCTTTTGGCAAGGAGGAGCAGAAGGAGGAGGAGGAGGAGGGAAGATGCTTCTATGCAGGGAGCAGCCTTGGTGCAGGAGAGCTCCCTCTGCATATAAACACTAATAATCCTGGGCTGACACCACCAGAGTCGTTTGACAAGCTGATTCACCCTTCTCCTTTGGATCCTGCTCCTCTTCTGTGCTTGGTAATTTTTAAACTTGCCCAAATACTGAGGGAGAGTGAGGGCTGTCCCCCATTTCCCACCTGCCCCTCTTGCTGCCCCCTTCCCCCTGCCAGTGCAGCCATCCCAGGTGACAGCCTCCCTGTGCTAAAGGATGATGGTGCATGGCCAGGGAGAGGTGGCCAGGAGCAGTCCAAGGGCTGCAGATATCCATCTGAGCACCCTTTCCTTCCCATCCTATCTCCTCACATCCCATCTTGTCTCCTATCCTATCCAGCAGCCCATTCTCCATCTTCCATCCCATCCTGTCCTCTCCTGTCCCCTCACGTCCTATTTCATCATGTCACCCCAGCCCTTTCCTCATATCCCCTCCCTTCCTGCTGCCCCCCCAACCATATCCAGTCACACCTGGCACAGGTGGCATCAAGCCAGGCACAGGCAGGCAGGCAGCACTGTGCTGCCCACACACAGCCTGGCTCTGCAGCCCTCCTCCCACTCGTGCCAGGAGGGCTCAAGCCCCTTCATCCTCCTGCTTGCCTGTTAGCTTTTGCAAGGCTTGCCAGGGTTCAGACCAATTCACAGCTCACCCTCTGATAATTTTGGTTAAAAATTAGTAGGATACAATAGACAGAGTGGGACAGGAGGGGGCCGAAGCAGTGCAGGAGAAGAGGAGCTGAACAACTTGCAGGCAGAGCATCAACATCACGTGTGCTGGGTTCCCTCTGGAACGTGGGTTACAAAGCCAGTGCCAGCTCCACACCAAGCAATTCCTGAGGGCAATTAAAGCACTCACAAACCTGGCTGCTGCCTCCTGCCCACGTGTCCCTACACCCAGCACACACGCAGGGGTTCACATGAGCATCAGCCTCTCTTGTTTTAAGGTTTGAGTTAAAAGGTTTGCTGCATAGCAAAAGCTCTGGGGTTTGAGGTGAGGGAAATCCTCATTTGGTCAGCAGTGACTTGTGCCAGGGGACAAGGCCACCCCATGGTGGAATTTGCCTGTCTGGGCAGGAGCAGCAGGGCACAGTCAGCTTCAAAAAGAGGGGGGAGCTGCAGGGGGCTGTGGCTGAGCACCCCCACAGGACTCAGGGTTTTTAGGGCTCACAGACCTAAATAAATGGGCTCCACAGCAAATGAGCTGCAGGGTAAATGATAGGACCACGATGCTTTTCTGTATGGGATTCCCAGGTGGAAAAGAAGAAAATCTCAGAGGAGATAACTCCTTTGTCTTCTGCTCCCCTGAGAGAGGAAGCAGAGGAGCTGCAAAGGAGTTACACCTGGTTGGAAGCTGAATGTGTGAACTGAAAGAGCTCACTGGCACCTGGGCCATGAAACCACAGGTGCCCAAGGGAAAGGGAGATGAGCCCTTGCCCTCTCAAGAGCTCCATGTCCTGCCTGAAGTCCTTCCCATTCCTCAGGGAATGGCAGGGGGTAGGGTGTAGGTGCAGTAGGGAGTGAAAGGCTGTTTACATGAGGAGGTAAGTATATCTGGTATCAACCACCCCAGGGCTGTGCAAGACTGGGGGTGTGGGTGCTTAACCTAACCTGGGAATGCTGAGAGTTTGGGATCAGTCTGGAGGGTGGCTGAGGCACAGAGCATCCTAAATAACTGGAAGCCCAGCCATGGTGGTGGTGGGCTAGCAGTTCTGGGGCAGGGGCTACCTTGGATTAGGCTTTTGGTGCCTTGTGCCAGTGTCTGCCCAGACTACAGCGGTTGGCAGCAAGTCCTCACATGCATCCCCCGTCCCAGCCACCAACAGCAGGACATGGGACCCATTTGCAATTCCCTCTGTAAGGAGCTCCCTGCTGCTCTTCCCTGGGGAACCACAAGTGTGGGGGGGTATTGCCCCTCTCTTCCCTCTGCACACCTCACCCTGTGCCTGCCAAGAAGTGGGATTTTCTGTGTGCTGAAGTGACCAAACCAGGCAGCCAAGGCAGGGTCCAGCCACCAGGATGGGCTCTAAAATACCCATTACCAGGCAGGAGCTGCAGGGATCATGGAGCCCATGGGGCTTTTAAAGCCCTAGTGTGGGGGGCAGAGATAGGCTGGGAGAAAAACCCTGGTAAATGTGAGTGCTGCCAGACTGAGCAGGGGTTGAGGGGTGATGTGCTCCAGAACAAATGGGTGCAAGGCACCAGGGATAGTGGAGCTGCTGATTTGGTGGTGTTAATAATGCTCTGGGCTGTGGTAGGAAGAACACCCCCCTGCTGCCTCCTCCCAGCAATGGGGAACACGTGCTCCTGCGTGCATTTGGGATGTTTTTGCTGCTGCCCCTGTACCACCTGGGGTTTCTCCTTTGTGTAAACGGGCTGAGAAATGAAGGAGCGTTGGAGTTTAGGGCTATGCAATGTTCAACTAGATGGATTATTTATGCCCCAGACAAATATTAGCCATGCTTTATGGCTGCATTCTTGCTTCCTCACTCTGCCACTGCCATTGTCTGACTTTAAACATGTTTTACCGATTACTTCCTCTGTTATTTTTCCAGGAACTAAACTAAAGCTTACATAACTTATCCCTACTTCTACAACCCACAATTCAAGTTTTATTTGCTGGGAAACAATATGTGTTTATTTTTTCATTCTTTGTCCTTTTCACAGGGGGGGAAATTTATCCTTTCTGCGTGTCATTAGGTTTGTCCTTCTTTTGCAGTTCAGTGATGGACTTCAGCTGGCCTCTTGCTGAGCCCTGGTTCTGCTTTCATTCTCCTGCTTGCCAGCACCAGTGCCAAAGGTAACTTGTCACAGCTTATGTTAAGGGGTGTGGAGGTACCAGCTGCCATGTGCCGAGGTTAGTCGTGCTCCTGTTGTTTCAAAGGTTGCCAGCTTTGAATTCTTGGGATTCTCTCCTGTGATTAATTTGGAGTAACTTCTGAGATTCCTAGTAGTTGGTACCTTTCTGTGTCTTATTTCTTCTCCTCGGTGGTACGAAGTGTTGAGTAGCGGTTGTAAAAACTAGGAGTTAAAACTGGGTTTGTAAAATGCACTGGGCCAATCCTGAAAGCTTGCAGTGAAGAAACTAGAAATGCAAGTCACTTGGTACTGTCAGAGTAGGGCTTTATGTGAGTCAACGGTCGTGTTATCTCCTGCACACACATTGATTGCTTACAGCTGTTCACTGATTGTTGCCAGAGTTTGGAATGACATTGTAGGCATGTTATGGTGCTGGAGACACTGTCCTAGCAGAGATTGATGTAGGATCTGTGGCTTTTTAACTCATATCTCAAGTTAGTCTAGTAATATAACCTAAAAATAATGAGATCTGTAAGGGAGGTGCATGTTCATTGAGTCTTAGACCACAAAATGCTCATGACAAGGCAAGGTCAGGTGGGTCACATCCTCCTTCCTCCAGAACCTGTACGTGGCAGAGGCAGTAATCCCTTGGCTGGCTGGCAAAGGGCTTTTTGAATGTAGCTTGTCTGTTTGGGAAGTCAAATGTTTTATAAGAACTCTTCTGAGAACAGCAGTGTGCTTCAGTACATGCTTAAACAACTGGTGACTTCCAGTTCATAGAACTGATGATCTGCTGTAATTTGGGCTTCTATCTCTCCACCACTTGGCTGTTTGTGATATTATAATGGATCCCTAAAGGGGGGAGCTTCACAGCACACCTGTGAGCGTGCCAGCAGCAGGCAGTACTAGGTTGGCTTGTTACATCCAGAAAACAAGAATACCTGGTTGGAGTAACTGGTCAGGGACTTGTGACAGCCACTGTAGCAGTTACTGGACATGCCTGTACATGAAGGAAGCAGTTTAATGCTCTGCTCTGACTTCATGCCAATATTGACCCCGAGTACATGTGTATACACACAGAAATACTTCCTCCTGTTCAAAGCCT